TTTGGTATTTTGAAAAATAAAAAGTATAAATATGCCTTATATAGGTATGGTCCTACACTATATTATTCAAATATAGCATGATAGGTCCACTTTAAATATAATCTAAATGGCCATTATTAGGCAGGGTTTTTTCAATTTCTGATTCACTTTTTAATTATTTAGGCACCTATTACAGTCCCCCTATTATACTGTTTTTCATCAATATATTATAGTCTCAGATATATACAGAACATGTCTCTGATTGGCTGAAACACCAAACAGATCATTGCAGCATTACCCATAATCCACTCTGTTTCAGCCCTGTTTCCAAAGTGCTGATTCTCTGTCTGTTACTTTAGATGAAAATAAGGAGCCCCTCCCCACGCCCCTCTGAGAGAGATTTGGTTACAAAGAGCTCAATGGTGCTCTAGGAGGAGATTCAGGTGATAAGGTGGGGGGGGGTTACCTTGGTTGCTGATTGGCTAATGGTTACACAAGACAACACATCGTTATGACATCATAAAGTGGCCAAAATCTGATCAGCTCATTTTCAGACCGGTTTTTATAGAAATGGATCAAAAAGAGAGAGAATCTTTGTTTCTGAAACTTTCAGAATCTCTTCACACATGTTGATGTATACATGAAAAAGTGGATTTTGCATAATAGGTGACCTTTAAATCGAATGTATTGTCAGAAAAAAAAAGCGACCCAATGTTTTAAAAGTCACATAGTAAGAAAAGTCTCTACAACGTCTCCATCGCTAACTCTGTTGCCTATTGGCCCCGCAGTGCGCCGGAGCCTCGGCTGCTGTGGGAGCGCGTGGAGAAACTGGTTCCCAGAACGACCGGTAATAACAGCGGAGGCTCCAGCTCCTCCAGCAGCTCCAGTAACTCCAGCTCTAAGCCCGGGTCTCACTGCGGCTCTGGAGAAAGGTTCAGGGCCCGCTGTGAGTCCAAACACACACATGTTGACCAATCAGCACTTAGGGAGGGAGGGTTACTTTCAAAATGTATTTTGTTATGAATACTCGTTACCTGTAAAGAAATGTCATCAGGAACCTAATCTGAGTATCGAATTATAAAAGTAACCTGATTACTTTCTGTAACTTTTGGATTACCCATATATCAAATGCAAAGAGAAAATAAATATCAATACTTATTTGATACTTAAGTGTATTATAAGGAGGTGGACAAAATAACTGAAACACCACTTCTAAAGCTAGTCAGTTGTAGAGGAGCAACACAAGCTTGGTGAAAATATAACATTTAAAAAAAGGGTTGGGAGGGGGTTACTACTTAGTTACCTGTAACAAATGTCATCAGTAAGTTACAAAGTATAAAAGTAACTGATTACTTTCTGTTGTTACAAATGCAATGTAAATAAATACAAGAGAAAATAAATATCAATACTTACTGTAAGTTTGTTATGTAAGACAACAGAACAATGTGATCTTAGAAAATAAGAAACCAAGGTATTTAGTATAAAAAACGTTTGATTTTATTTATACTGCGGGTACATTAGCTTCAAATGAACTCAACCATCTTACAATTTAAAAATAGATTTAGATGTCCATGGTTCAATGGATAACATGCATACACATTTGGAATTTGCCATTTAATGTAATTTACTGATCTCCTCCTTCAGCCTCCTCCAAATCAGAGGGTTCTCCCCTCCTGCGGCCAGAGAATGCTGGGAAAAAACCAGAGGAGAAGAAGAACAGACCGGCGGTGAGACTCAAAGCTAGTGCTGTAGCTCGATAGCAGGGGTAGAGTTAGACGTAGTGTGTGTGTGTGTAGTCATTATAACGTGGTTTGGGTTTGTTTGAAAGCTGGACTTGATCTCCTTCTGTGAATGATATTAAACTGGCTGGTTTGGACTGTGTCATGTGATCGGCTCCTCATCCAATAGAGTGACTTGGTGAAATGAAGTCTTTGGGTTTCCTGCACTTATCGCTTTGCTTTCTCTCCACCGGTCTTCCTGCCTGGGCGGCGGCCATCTTATAACTCATGCCTTCTCTAACTTCAATTAACTTTTTTCAAGCTTCTAATAACTGTGGCTTTATTCAAATGAATTCACTAACCTTACCTTCGGTCGCTTGAAGGTCCGACAGTCATCTCTTTCCTCGCCTCATCTCTCGGCTCTGCTGCTCACGCTGGCTTCTCATTGGCTGGTGATAACCCCTCTTCCCTTTCCTGCAGCTTTCTGTTTCCTGGCTGCTACTTTCTTTCAAAGGAAGATTAACCGAATGTGACATTTAAGCAAACGGCGCGTGTATAAAATGCCCAGAATCGACATCAATCCATGAGATAAAATGTTGAAGTCATTTTCACCTCTCACCTCCTGACCTTTAGGACCTGACGGCTCTGGCCAAAGAGCTTCGTGCAGTGGATGACGTTCGCCCCCCCAATAAAGTGACAGATTATTCATCCTCCAGCGATGATTCAGACACCACTGATGAAGATGATGATGAAGAGGTGGACCAGGAGGGCGGTGAAGAGTCGACCTCTGGCCCGGAGGACTCCAAAGCTGTGTATGTACAACTTTAACCTCTGATCTCACACACACTTGGTGACACTAGTCATCAGTTTAGGGATTTGTTGACATTTGTTTATCTACTGAAGTCCTGAGAAGCAAGTAAGAAGAACTAAATATTTTCTTTCTTGCCTTGTTATTTTTTTGTTGTCAAGAAATATGTGTTGTATTGTTAGATAATGTGTTAGCAAGTTATATAAAATGATAACATGTCATGTTTTTCAGTAGGGTGTAAATGTATTTGAATCTGTGCTTTTTTGTCCTATGTTGAAAATGAGACAGAAGTTGCTTTAACTTTTTGTGGATTTAAGAAATATTACAACTAACTAAATAACCAGCCAAAAGTGTTTTTTTTACATATGACTTATTTTAAATAATTTAATAACAATACCAAATACCGAATGTTTCAGAAATATGATATTTAAAACAATATATGACAAATATGGTAAGTAATGTAAAATGACTTTCTTTCATACATATAAATAAGTTTTAATCTGTGCTAATTTGTAGCTTTAAAGTCCTATTTTGAACATGCATCACTGGTCCCTTTAGCTTTTTGTGGCTTTAAAGGTCCCATGCATCTCATGGCCATTTCTACTGATCATAATTCCATTGTTGAGGTCTACTAGAATAGATTTATATTGTTCAATGTTCCAAACTCACATTGGTTTCTCATACAGCATCTCTGTATAGTATGTGTATTCACTCTCTGTCCTAAACGGCTTGTTGGAGCTCCTGCCCCCCCCCCTCCCCGTGAGCCCAGTGGCCGTCTGCGAGACAGCGAGACACAGCGGAACCCAGCCCGAACACACACACACACCTGCAGCCTGGCTGGGAGTTTGTGTGTGTGCCCAGGCTGAGTTCCGCGGTGTCTCGCTGTCTCGTCGACCCCACACCAGTGAGCCAGCTCACAGTGTCCCGCTCCTCGCAGCAGCGAGCCGCGCAACGTCCCGGCGAGTGTGTGTGTGTGTGTGTGTGTTTGTGAGGAAGTCTGCGGATTGGTCCAAACGTAACGGCCCCGTGGACGCCGCGGATTGGTCCAATCTGCGGAGCCGTTACGTTATGTCACTATACCCGAAATACGTCACTACACCCAAGAAGTAAACAATGGAAAAAGAGAAATGTCCAACGAGGCGTTCTGGGGCAGCATAGACAGGTCTTTTCTGTGTTAGAGTTTTACTCGCTACAGGCCAGGGTGTACTTTGAGGGTTTGTGCAGAAAACCGTTTACATGCAGAAAAACCTTCATAACACACAAGGGGACGGGTAATAACCGGAAAAGCATGACATGGGACCTTTAAGGATTATTAAAACAGCAGACACTTAAAATACATATATAACAAGCCAAACAAGACAAAAAAAAAGGATTTTATAAGAAATCTCTTGTGAAAAAATACTTTCAGACTATTTATTATATATTAAGGAGTTAAAAAAGATGTTGACCTTAAGAGACAGTCTTTTAGATCTCGCTTGATCTTTCAATGCCTCCATAAAAAAAATGTTTTCCCCAAATTGCTTGAGTTGTAAATCTTCTTTTCTCCTGCAGTTCTTCCAGGCTGAGCAATGGAGAGACAGAGTCGGTGAAAACCATGATCGTTCACGACGAGGACGCCGGCTCGACGCCCTGCAAAGACAGCACTCTGATCGTCAGACAGGTACCACCGGAGAGGAAGACAGGACACACACCTTCATCATTCACCACACACACCTTCAGTTGTTTGTTGTGTATTCTGTTCATTCATACCCCGAATGTTTTCCCCTTTTGTTTGTACGTTGTGTTGATTTTGTTCTGTTGTTGTATGATTTCTGGTCAGTGGAGAGCAGCTGAATTAGCGTGGATTGGAGATACGATACGATAATACTTTATTGGCAGATTAAGTCTAAGATGGTTATTGCATCACAGCAGCTCCATTTGCAACATCGACAAGGACAAACATTGAAGACAAGATATAAAAGGAAAACATCACGATCTGCATGGTCTCGTGCAACGAACGTTTCAACTCATAATTCAACTTCAACTTAATGATGCTAACATAAAACCCATAGCTGATATAATAATGGGGATAAACTACATTTGTTTTACTTTAGGTCTAGACGGTTTTCAATCCATTTAAAACAACTCGTTTTTGAAGTTATTTAATCACAATTGCAGTTATCAGATGCGTTAAGTTCAGATAAACACCACTAAATTATCATATTATCTTAAAGTCCCCCTATTATACTGTTTTTCATCAATATATCACAGGTCTCAGATATATACAGAACATGTCTCTGATCGGCTGAAACACCAAACAGATCATTGCAGCATTACCCATAATCCCCTCTGTTTCAGCCCTGTTTCCAAAGTGCTGATTCTCTGTCTGTTACTTTAGATGAAAATAAGGAGCCCCTCCCCACGCCCCTCTGAGAGAGATTTGGTTACAAAGAACACAAGGTGGGGGGGGGGTTACCTTGGTTGGTGATTGGCTAATGGTTACACAAGCCAAAAAATCGTTATGACATCATAAAGTGGCCAAAATCTGATCAGCTCATTTTCAGACAGGTTTTTATAGAAATGGATCGGATCAAAAAGAGAGAGAATCTTTGTTCCTGAAACTTTCAGAGTCTCTTTCCACAGAGGGGACACATGTTGATGTAGAAGAGACATGAAGAAGAGGGGACACATGTTGATGTATTAGAGACATGAAAAAGTGCATTTTGCATAATAGGTGACCTTTAAGTTCAGATAAACAGCACTAAATGACCATCTTAAAATTGAATGACTAACGAGAGTTTTCCTTCCGCCTGTAGAGTAGCTACTGTAGTCGGCCCTTCGCTCTAGCAAACACCTTCCCTTCGCCTCAGCTGCTCAGAATCACATGTAGACCCACAGTCTGCCCCTCTTTCTACTTCCAGAGTGCAGGTGACCACAGAAAGCGTCAGACAGGGGCTCAGACCCCCGGCCCGCTCCCAGGCTTTGCCCCTCACCCCGGCATCGTGTCCAGCCCGGGCCTCGGCCAGCACACCCCCAGCCCCCCCCATCATCACCACCATCACCACCACCACCATCACCCCAATCTACCCACCACTCAGCACCCGGACAGGAACGGGTTCTCTGGGCGCATTCACCACCTCCCAGACCTGATCCAGCAGAGCCACCATTCCACCCCCTCCTCCTCTGCATCCAACTCCCCCTCCTCCTCCTCCAGCCTCTCCAGCCCCGCCATGTCCCCTCAGAGTCCGCTGGATAAACTCACCCTCCTCATCGAGGTACGTGGCCCCCAGCCCCCCAAAAACAGGACTCTCGCTTCAGAAAGGGGACGTTTCTGGTAAAGTCTTGAACAGGAAGTGACAATCATCATGGCTGCCAGAACTGGGATCACAGCAGAGTGGAAACTAGGGCTGTTCAATTAATCGTATTTTAATCGCAATTACGATTATGGCTTGCAACGATTACAAAAACAACGTAATCGAAATAAAACGATTTTTTAAAAATTATTATTACTTTTTTTTTTTTAATAATAATAATTTTTTTGGGGTGTTTTCAGTTGAATTATACTTAAAACTCACTGTTAAAAACATACTGTTCAACATTTCTTTCTCCAATAAATTGATGTTTTCAAAGTAATGGATAATCGTTTTTAATAATCGTGATATCAATTATAATCGAGATTATGATTTTTGCCATAATCGAGCAGCTCTAGTGGAAACTAGTCTGGCTTAACCTCATTGGCATTATAGCTGTGATGAAGTATTTCTCTCAGATGTACGCAACGTATTGACTGACCGCGGCTACCATTTTTCTTTTTTTTATAATAATAATAATAATAAACTTTATTTATATAGCACCTTTCATGCTTAGTGATTTACAGAGTATGACACAACATCACAATAACAAATGAGGAACATGATTAAAATATGTAAAAACACTAAAACAAGAACAGTGATACTACTAAAAAATGATAAGCCAAATGAAACAGATAGGTCTTTGATTTACTTTAAAAAGATCCAATGGGAGGCGGTTCCACAGTTTGGGGCGATATAAAAGCAGAAAGCAGCCTCTCCAGTTTTCTTGTAATGTACTTTTAAAAGTGAAACATTGGAGGATCTAAGTGTCCTTGTGTCCTCCTTATGTTAGTGTGTCCTCTGTGGAGGCCTAAAGACACAGATCTATTCTTCCACTGCCCTCTTTTTGGTGGAAGTAAAGGGAATCGTAGGTGTTTTCACCAGAAAGGGGGCGGGCCGGCGATGACGTAGCTCTCATCATCTAAAAAAACTTTTTACATTCTGTTCAGTTCTGACCGGCCATGATGATAGAGTCTTCTCCTGCATCTGTTTTTGAGGCCCTCTGCTGGTACTGTTGATTTTTTTTAATCCAGCCCTTCATGGCCCCTCGTTTGTTTTCTCTGCTGACATAGACTTTCTGCAGAGAGATGTTGGTATTGGAGTGGTGTGCGGTGTTATAGGGATCATTTGAAAGTACGATGTTTCCCCTGTTAACATCCTGTTACATCAAATCGTCTTTAGGGTAACGACTCAGCTGTAGTCCCATCGCTCGTCTGTGAATATTTTATTTATGATCCAAACAGACATGCTAGCTCTGGTTTTTTCTAACGTGTCCTCTGAGGTCAGCTGTGGTTTCAGAAGCATTCCCACCAAACTTCTAAATCTCATTTTATTCCTTGTTGTTGACTATTTTTAGCCAACGAGTCATATTCTCACATTCCCCAGACAGTAGATCATAAAAGTTAGGAGCTCAACGGCAAGTATGTTTCCCATGGAAATACTTATATGTTGTTTCCCCTTTTTTTGTTTTTGTCAACTCAATATATTCCATATGTTTTACCCTCCATTGTTTCTGCCGTTTCCACAGTATTTATATTTTACCCTCCACTTGAATTCCCATTGTATTCGCATGAAAAAAAACCTCAGTTTGACTGCATTGTCTTGTTGATTGTTTACATTATTGTTTATCTGTAAGCAACTCATTCTGTAAATATGTTTCTGGTCTTTATACTGAGAGTTGATGTTCTGTCACCACTAAATCCTGTGTTCTCTCGCTGTAGAGCCAGTCCAGTAACAACATGCAGAAACACAAGTCTTCTTCCTCCTTCACTCCGTTCATCGACCCCCGCCTCCTGCAGGTCTCCACCTCCACCGGCAGCGCCCTCAACAACATCGGTAAGTCCCGCCCCCCCACTAGCTGCTGTGTAAACAATAGAGAGGCGAAGTCCCTCCCTTTCCGGGGGGAGCTCCATGGGACCTTATTTCTGAATAAGTATGTATTGAAGTCAATGGAGAGAGAAACATTATCTTTCGATCCCGTTTGAATTGTGCCACGAATTACACATATGATGTTTGTCAATTTAAAAGATAATTTTGCAAGTTAACAAATAAAAATGTCTCGTAAAACTGTGAAGTAACACTTTGTTTGTGTGAAACCGCTCAATGAACTACATCTCCCGTCTCGCACCACACACCAAGACGGCCGTCACGTTGGCACATTTCACTTCTTTCTTTCAGAATGAGGCGAAAAGTATTAAAAGAGGTGAAAATCACTCCAAGTCTGGGCATGTTGAGAGCTGTACATA